TTCTGCATTATCTTTAGTAAAACTTTACTCGCATTCCATTGGGTCACCTCTCTTTGGAATGGGCACAAATACGGATCTCTTCCAATCAGTAGGCCAGATAGTTATCTTCCAATTTTTTTGGCAGAAATGAGTGAGTGCCTCCTGTGCCGCCTCACTTTCTTGAAAGAGTTCTATTTTGATTCCATCAATTCCTGGTGTCTTGTTCTTTGCCAGTTCCTTCACTGCACCTTGGACTTCCTCCCTCAGTATCATTGGCTCTTGATTATATGCTACCTCTTGAAATGGCTGAACATTAACCATTTCCTTTTGGTACAGTGGTTACTCTGGGTATTCCTTCCATCTTGTCTTGATGCTTTCTGCATCACTCAATAATTTGCCCAGAGAATCTTTAAATAATAAAAATCGAGGTTTGATTTTTTTCTTCAGTTCCCTCAGCTTGAGAAATGCTGAGCATGTTCTTCCTTTTTGGTTTTCTAATTCTAGATCTTTGCACATTTTGTTATAATATTTGGCTTTATCTTCTCGATCTGATCTTTGGAATTTTTTGTTCAGCTCTTGTACCTCCTCATTTCTTCCATTTGCTTTAGCATCTCTACACTGGAGAGCAAGTTTCAGTGTTACACAGGTAACACCCATATATTTTTTCATTGTGAAGCACCCAAACTTGACAGAATAGCTAATTCTGTAACCCTGACGTCTACTGCCAGCCTCTCCTCTTCTCCAGGAGGAAACTCTCATGAGGGTGCTTCCTTCCAGGCCTTTCTTCGGCATTGGTTCATTAAGTTCACATCCCTTCATAACGTTCTGTGGCTCCTCTATGAATTTTACCAAAAAGAGGAACAAAACTTCCTTGGCAAAGCCTGGGTGGAAGGCCAGGGCCACCAGCTTCCTGCTGCGTGTCTAGGGAGCTCTCCCAGGGGCCTGGGGAGGACCAAGTGGGAGCAGGAGGCTGTGGCTGCAGGGGGTGGTTAGTGGGTGGGCACTGTCTGGCCGATCCACCTAACAGACAATAGAGCCGCCATTGAGGGTACCTGGGGCTCCAGAGCCGGTCAACCTCCTCCCTGCTGGCCCAAGACTAGGGATCCTGAACTCAGGATGCTCAGAGGCTCAGCACACTGCCCTGCTTTCTCCTGGGATATGCCTCCCACTTCCCTGATACCCAAGGAGCTCTGGTAGCATAGTGGTTATGAGCCGGGCTGCTAACCTCAAGGTCAACAATTTGAAACTACCAGCTGTTTCATGGGAAAAAGATGAGGCTTTCTGCTCCCGTAAAGATTTACAGCCTCGGAAACCCTATACAGGGTCGCTATGAGTCAGAACCGACTCCATGGTACACCACCACCACCAGATACCCACAACCAACAGAGCCCTGGGCTGTAGGGCAGACCCTGGGGAACTCAGGGAATGAAGACTCTGTAGATCTGCTGAGAGACCCCTCTGACAATGGCTAGAGACACTCAGACCCTTAGCAGGCTTTCAAATCTTGGCTGACAACCCCAACGCCCTCAGTAGTTCACAGCTGCTGTTAGCTAGGGAGTAACAGCAACAGCTGATGCGTCAGTGTTGTGTGTAACCTCATTTAGAGTCCGTGACCACCCAGTAGGGTAGGAATATTGTTACCCTAATTTTCAGGTGAGCAAACTGAGGCAGTGAGAGGTTTAATCCTTCTCACACCATTCATCAGGGCAATGCCAGACAGGGAGAGACAGGGGGCTCCTTGCCTTGGAAAGCCACCACCTGAGCCCTCCACCCATGGTGAACCTGCTGGTTCTTCTTTTCAGGTTCTGTGTGGCCCCCCACTCCCCGGCCTTCCTTAGCCCCATTCTTCCTCACAGACACAGCTCACGATGGCCACAGGTTCAGGAGCATCTAGTCTATGGATTCAAATCACTAAAGCGCTAACACGAGGGCGAGCACACTGTGGAGAGCAGGCCAGTGTGAAGGGAGGGCTACTCAAGGCCACACCGGCTGGAACTGGACCAAGTGGGGTCGTCCCCACAGTAAATTTCTGAAGACTCAGCCCCAGGGCTTGTTGTCCTCCAACTCCTGAGGGACCTCTTTCCCCACAGACTACCCCGTTCCCACTGCCGTCCAGTCGATTCCAACTAATAAAGACCCTGTGTTGTTGCTAAGCGCCATTGACCTGGCTCCGACTCTGCAGGTTTGAACTGTCGACCTTGTGGTTTACAGTCGAGTGCTGATTCACAGAGCCACACCATCAACAAGCCTTTGGTGGTGGTGGTGGTTATGTGCCGTGGAGTCGATTCCAACCTTACATAGGGTTTCCAAGGCTGATAAATCCCTATGGGAGCTGAAAGCCTCACCTTTCCACTGTGGAACAGCTTGTAGTTTCGAACTGCTGAACTTGAGGTTACCAGCCTGACTTGTAACCACTAAGCTACCAGAGCTCCTTCAGTGACCCTATAGGACAGAGTAAAACCAATCCCTAGGGTTTTGGAGACTAAACCTTTACAGGACCAGGCAGCCTCATCTTGATCCTGTGGAGTGGTGGTGGGTTTGGATTTTGGGTCTTGCAGTTAGCAGCCCAACGTTTAACCTCCTAACACCACCAGAGCGCCCTCTGACCACCCTCCATATTATCAAATCCCACCCTTACAGTTCTGACGTAAAGAATGGCCTCTCAGAGTTGACTTGCATCGATCTGATTATGAGAGAGGTTGAACAGTATGTTCAGAAGTGTGCAAGCCATCTGGGTTTTCTTCTCTGTCCACTGTTGCTCTGCTTCCTATGCCCCAGCTTCGGGAGGCCTGTTTGGACCTGGTTTGGACCTGGGCTTGCGTCCTGGTCCCATGTGCTGTTGGCTAGGTTTCATCTGTTAATGGGAACTGTGAGATGAGACCAGAAGAGCTGACGGTGATGAAGTGGGAAAGTGCTGCTCACAGACGAGGCTCAGGAATGTCCGCCTTCATCAGAGCACTGTGGTACCACGGAGCTCGGGAGGCCTCTGTGTGATCCAAATTTCCGGCATTGTTGAGCCATTGCCTGACAAATGGTTCTGATGAGTACGGCTGTGCTCCAAGACCAGAGGCTGGGCCAGGCTTTCCTGGATTCCTCAGAGGCCTGCCTGCCTTCACCCTGTGGCTACCGAGGCTGCAGGGCAGCAGGGTTCAGAATGGAAGCAAATGAGAGAGGAAGCTTTCTTCTAAGCTACCTGTCAGATATAGACTGGCTAAAACTTGGAGATGTGTCTGGTTCACAGAGGTCTGAGGAAAGTCATGCACTACAGGGGTCTGATGAAGGTCATGTTCCACAGAGCTGATAAAGGGTATGTTCCACAGAGTTCTGAGGAAGGACATGTCCTACAGGGGTTTGAGGAAGGGCGTGTCCCAGAGGAATCTGAGGAAGGACATGTACCACAGGTTCTGAAGGAGGACGTGTTGCACAGGAATCTGAGGAAGAGTGTGTCCTAAAGAGCTCTGAGGAAGGACTTGTACCACAGGGTCTGAGGAAGGATGTGTACCACAGGGCTCTGAGGAAGGACGTGTACCACAGGGTCTGAGGAAGGACGTGTACCACAGGACCCTGAGGAAGGAAGTGTACCACAGGGTCTGAGGAAGGACGTGTACCACAGGGCTCTGAGGAAGGACATGAACCACAGGGTCTGAGGAAGGACGTGTACCACAGGGCTCTGAGGAAGGGTGTGTACTACAGGGCTCTGAGGAAGGAAGGGTCTGAGGAAAAACATATACCACAGGGTCTGAGGAAAGTCATATCCCACAGAGCTCTGGTTCATTGGAGCCTACTGTCAGACTAGACACCAAGTGGTGATTGAGATCACCCTGGGCCCTGTTCTCCCAATCCAGTGGGGAGATGTCATTAGACAGCAATAGGGTTGGGTGGTCAGGACCAGGACAGGGAGGCACCATGATACGGGAACAGAGGGCAGGGGTCTGATCCAGACTGAGGGGCATGAGGGAAGGCTTCCAGGAGGGAGGAGGACTAGCCAAGTGGTGAATGCAAAGATAAGTCAAAATAAGCTAAAAGAACATGTTCATTTGAGGGGGGTTAAAAAATTTTGTGGAAAAATCCCATTGTCTTTAAATTCCATTTTTCCACGAACTTTTAGAAGTCATGTTGTAGCTGTCAGGGACCATTTTCTAAGTGAGGGAACAGGCTTAGCATGGTAAAGCCATTTGCCCATGTTAGACTGTTTTCCTGAGTAAGAGAGCCCCAGATTTTGGTGGGGTACATGGCCTCATTGCTGCTGGTGTGGCCATGTGAGACGTTAAGTGCAGGAGGGTTGTGGGCCTTTGAGTCCTCTCCTGCTGGCCGCACTCCATGATGGAGCTGGGAGGAGCCTAGCCTGGCTGAATCAGCGTCAGCGCTGCACAGGCCCCCGACCGCCCACCCCAAGATCTTTGACCTATACAAAGTCTTGGGTGTTGAAGCGACTGTTAATTTAGGCTTTGTGCCACATGCAGCTAGAACATCTGAATAAACACATGGCTACACTGTCAGGATCCCACACCACGGCCCTGTGTGCTGCAGGCTCGTCCTTCGCCTGCCATGACACTGTGTTTCTCCTCACCCTGGCTGCATCCCCACCCTGCATGCAGTCACTGCCCTGTTCTGTGGACGAGTTAACTGGGGGCCAGGGCTGCACAAGGCAGGTGACTCGAACCCTGAAGCCCTGATTCTGGAACCCAGGTTGTCTCCTTTCAAAGTCGCCCAGGCCTCAACAGAGAGGGGTTGGAATCTCAAGGACTGGAAGCACGATGCCTACCTTCGTAGGCCTTGGCTGCGTTCACCAGGCTGGACCACTCAAGGCCAGCAGCCGTGTCGGGCAGTGGCATCATCCCAGGGTCAAGGCGTCGCAGTGGTCGGTCCCGCCCCTCAGCCAGGGAGAGCTCTGAGGCCGAGATGGCAGCTGGGTGGGGAGAGGGGAGAATAGTTGATAATGACAACATGGGAACAACAGTTAAATTAATAGACATATTGTTTGTCAGATGATAGATCGTAAGTGTCAGGGGAGACGTACACAGGGTAAGGGGCTAGAGGTGTTAGATGTTTGTGTGTGTGTGTGTGTATGTGTAGAAATACAGCCAGAGTGCTCCTTAGAGGCCAGGATGGCCAGATTTCGCCTTTCATACTTCAGACATACTGTCAGGAAGGAGCAGTCACTGGAGAAGGATATCATGTTTGGTTACGTGGAGAGTTAGAGAAAAAGAGGAAGACCCCCAACGAGATGGATTGGCAGTGGCAGCATCAATGGGCTCAAATGTAGCAACAATAGTGAGGTTGGCCCAGGATCAGGCAGTGTTTTGTTCTGTTGTGCATAGGGTCGCTATGAGTTGGTACCGACTCGATGGCACCTAACAACAGTTTGAAACAGGGCGCTAGGAAAGGCCTGCTCTAAAGCGGGTGAGGGATGAACACAGCTCTAGGGGGAAGGGAGAGCCAAGTGCAAAGACCCCGAAGCAGAAATGTACCAGGTATGTCTGAGGAACAGAGAGGAAGCCAGGAAGTGAGAAGGAGGGGTCAAGGCCAGAGAAGTAACAGGCTGGGTTATGTGAGACCTTGTGGGTAATGGGAGGTCTGAGTCCTTTACCCCTGAGTGAGAGGGAACCATGGACCAGGTCTGAGGAGAAGAGGACTGTGAGCAGATTCCCGTGTTCACAGGATCCCTCTGCTGAGTGGGGAGCAGGGAGAACACGGAGGAGGCTGCTGTGATGTACCCCAATGGATCCAGGGGTGGATGGGACCCCAATGGGGCCTCGGAGGGACAAAAGGGCCAACCCTGGATCTGCATTGTAAATGTAGCCACCAGGATTTCTGGAAAGACGGACATGGCTGTGAGACAAGGAGAAGGGTCTAGGACAAGGTCAAGGCTGAGACCTGAGCACAGCTGGTTGGAGTTGCCACCAACCGAGAGGGGGAGGGGGAAGGTATGTGTGTGTTTACGTGTGTGTTGGGGGGGAGAGGGGAGTTCAGAGGTGTTAAGTGCGAAATGCCATTAAATAGCCACAAGGTTGGCCACGTGAATCTGGAACTCAGGAGAAAGTTCTAACTGCAGATATAAATTTGAGTCACCATCAGTGTTTGTGGGGAGACGTGGTGGGTTCCAGTGTGACACGTCAGTAGGAAGACACCCTTGGAGCCTCAGGGCATAGGAATTAACAGGTAACACAGCATTTACCACATCTATCAGGTGGGTCTCAGATGACAAACATAGGACCTCGCCCACTCCTCAGAACCCCGGAGGGGGCAGAGGTGGGCACTGATGGACAGAAAGGTCAGACATGTGGCTGAGGTAGCTCAGCAGGAAAGGGCAGAGCTAGACTAGGAGCCAGGGCCCCTCCTGTCTGAGCACCTCTGGGGGCACTGGGACGATCCCCAAGTTCTGTAGTAGGGCAACTGAGGAGCTTACACAGGTGGCGCCATGCAGCTCGAAGCCAGTGGTCTGACGCTGCCCCTGCTCTAAGCCCCAGCCCACAATGAAGGTCAAGGCTCATCCTCAGGCCTGGCCCTCCTCTGGGGTCCAGAGGCACACCCCCAACTCATGGTGGAGTAAAATGCTTGTTCCAGATAATCGGGTATTAACAACCAGACAACGGTAACAGTGTGGTGCTTAGGGAACACTGAGCTTCTATTACAGGTAATGGAAAATTCTGGAGACAGGTAAGGGTGATGATTGATCAACAGGAGGACTATATGAGTTCATGTTACCAGACCATGCATATGACTAAACAAAGCCGAAATGGCAAAGGTTTTACTAAACATACAAGGGGACTTCAGAAAGCTTGTGGGAAAATTCACTGAAGGGGAGGGGCTACAGTAGAGCCCAGTGCGGGAGCCCCAAAACACCAGTGAAGGAGTATGGGAGCAGACACAGGGTAATGGGGAGCTATGGAGGAATGTGAAGGGAAGATAGGGATCCCTCACAAACGTCACAAAGTCTCCTCCATCCCATCCATCCCCTGTACAAGGAAGGGGCTGTCTCGGTAACTGTACAAGGAGCACATTGGCTCTGCTGGGATCTCTGAGCTGGGTTCTGAGACAGGAAGACATAACACACCCGGAGGTCAGGATGTGCCTGTAATCACTACATCCTGACAGGTGGGGTAAGTAAGGGCCACACTGGGTTTTGCTGCCCTATGAGTTTGGCCCAAACACACTGCCTTTTAGTTTCAAGCCTTTGAGACTGTGGATGAAGAAGTGCTGAGGGGACCAAGGGCCTGGTGGGGGGAGGGGGGAGTTGCGTACCCAGTGCCTGGCTCATGGGCTGACCAGTAAATATCTGCTGGATAAATAAGGGATGGATGAATCACACTCTTGTGGCCCCTCCTAAGAGCTGGCAGAGCTAAGAGGGAGTCTGGCAAGTAAATAAATATTCCCAAGGCAACCTGATTGACACTAGGACAGACAGAGGGCACAGGGAGCAGCCAATGTCACCCCCCCCAACCCCCCGTCCCCAGGGCCCCTTGTGAGGTCCCTCCAGAATGCATCCTCTCTCCAATCTCAGGTGACCCTAATCCTAGGACACCCCCGGAATGTGGACCTCATGAGATCTGCTGATCTTAGCCACCAGTGCCCAACCACCAGGCTCACGTGCACCCCCTTCCCTCCATCAGATGAGCCCACAAGGACCCCAACCCTGAGGTGGGTACCCAGACTCACACTGCTTCTCTGGGAAGCCGTTGCCAGTGGCGGGGCTTGTGCTGGGGTCTCCACCGAGCGTGTGGGGGTGCTGGTGCTGACGGCGGGCAGGCAGTGTGCTGGAGGGGAAGGCGCAGGGGCTGGGGAAGAGCACGTCGCCGGGCAGGCCTGGCTCCAGGCTGGTGGGGTTGGCGAAGCTGGGGTCTCGCCGCCCGCTGCACAGACTCTCGTCAGACAGTGTCCGCTGCAGGCTCTTCTGTGGGGACACAGGACACTGTCCTCAGAGGCGTCTTCCTGTCCCAACATCAGTGGATCTCAACCCGCCCTGCATGGCTTTCTGCCCCTTGTATGGGTAAAGAGGGGACCGAGGCTGAGGCCTGTCCCGAGTGACTGGACAGGAAGGAGGGTTGCTGGCTCCATTTGGGTCAACGGGATCAGGGCTGAGATCTGTGGTTGCGCTAGGGACACCGTGCTGGTGGGACGGACCCCGGGGAGGCTGGTCAGGGACAGAGGAGTAGGTGGGCCGAGGCTACTGGGCAGGCCTGCTGCTTTTGTCCCTTCCTTGGGTAACTAGGGCCTGCATTTCCCCCAGGAGCCCCCTCCTCCACTCTCTGTCCACATGGCTTGGGTTGGTTTGGTGGGGGCTGTTTCCACTCCCTTCCTGGGCTCTAGGAGGATATGGGAGCCACATTTGGCAATGAGATGCCTTTCCAGTCACATAAACCCAACAAAACCCCAAACCCACTACCAATGAGTCCATTCCAAGTCATGCTGACCCCATAGGACTTAAATCTTTATGGGAGCAGACAGCCTCATCTTTGCTCCACAGAACGGCTGGTAGTTTTGAACCTCTGCTCTTATAGTTAGCATCCCAACACTTGACTCACTGTTCCACCAGGGACCCTAGCCACATAAGGTACTTCACTATCTAGCAACCTCCCCCACAGTCCTGCCTCAGCTAAAGAGTCGTTCTGGCTCTGTCTAATATGGTACCCTTTCTCCTGGCCGAGGACCCAGACACCCAAGGGCGGCTGAGGATAGACTGAGGAAATGGGCGAGGAGGCGGCTGGAGTGAGCTCAGGGAGCCCTGGTCTCCTCCCTTGTCCTCAGGGACCCTCAGCCTGAGGCTGTCAGGAGTGGAGGGTGGGGCAGCTGCTACATACTCCCGAGTCTCTCTCCTGCTCTGGCCCCAGATTGTCCATGATGATGAGCTTCTTGAGGTCGTCCTCGATGGTAGACTTGTAGTTCTTCCGTGGGGAGCGGAGGTCTCGGAGAGATGCCCGCAACCGTGGCTGCCCAAAGACATTTTTTGTGTTGGTGTCCACCTGCCTGGAACAAGAAGGCTAGAGGTCAGTGGGGTCATGGGGAGACTTTAGCAGCTTCTTAACGTGTCGTGACCCAAGAAGGCTCAGTGCCATTGGGCAGACCACCTCAGCCTGCTTCACCTGGAGAAGGCAGTGACAAGGACTTTCTGTTCACGCATCCCACCTGTATTTCCTGGGAACCTCCTTTGTGCCACGCCTGTCCCTGGCACTGGGGATGAGGCCGTGCACTCGAAGCACAGTGCATCGAGGGAGTGACAAAGGACAAATGAATGGAAAGACAGACTGCACAGAGCGAGGCAGAGAGAGGTGTTTTGAGGAAAAACAGAGCCAGAGGAGTGGGTAGAGATTGACATGGCACAGGGACAGCTTCGCTGAGGTGACATCTGAGAAGACACATGGCTGAAAGGAGGAGGGACAAACCCTTCTGGCACTGAGAGCAGATGGGGCCGAGATGGAACATGCCCGTGTGTGAGGGGCAATGAGGGCAAGGAGCCAAGGGGCGGGAGGGCAGACTGTAGCCGACTCAGGCACTCTGATGCAATGTTCCTGGGGGGGTGCGAGGCTGGCCTAGGCCAGGGGGCTTCCAGCAACAAGCAAGTGACAGGAGACCTCCAGACGGGGCCAGTCTCAAACCTCCCTGCCTCCTCCGTCACGTGGGTTCACAAGGGGCAGCTGTGAGGCTCCAGGGAGATGAGGCCCCTCTCACACCACCACCCTCTTCCTCAGCACTCTTGCAGCCCAGGGTTGCCATGCCGGAGCTCTATGTGACATGAGTCCTGGCTCTGCTCCTTCCTGCTGTGGGACTCTGGGAAGGCTGGTCAACTCTCTGACCCTCAGTTTGTGCATCTGAGAAATGGGCTGACCTCACAGCGCTGCTGTGGGGATTTATGTCAAAGAGTCATGGCTGCTTTTACAACAGTCTCCCTGAGGGAGGCTGACCAGCGCCCCCTAGAGTTGCACCCACCCCTAATGCTCAGTCCCTCTACCTTCTGTGTGCAAGGCTGATAGCTACCACCCTGCGGAGCCTCTGTGTCCTCCGTTCAGTGACCCCAGGGCCAAGCTGCCTCCCTTCACCTACACTTAAGGCTCAGCCTTTGGGTTCTTCTTACTTCCCTAGTGAAAGTCGAGGGAAACAAATAATGACAGTTAAGAGTTCCCCAGGAGGGCTGCTAACAGCAAGGTCAAGGGTTCGGTTAGATTTACACTTCCACTGGCCTGTACGGTCGCTCCGAGTCGGAATCCACTTGATAGCCGTGGATCTTGGGTTTAATAGGAGCACAACCGTTGATTCACACCACACGTCACTTACTAAAGCTGCAAGCAGCCTTCTGAAGGAGGCGCTTTACATATGGGGAAACTGAGGCAGGGAGCCATCATCACAAGACACTGGCCTGGCATCAGGGATGTCACGGCCCTGCCTTGAAGTCAGTCACTCTCTTATCACCTCACTCTTTGCATTTCCAAATTTCCCTTCACAACAGCTGGAGTCTCTGGGTGGCACAGATGGCTAACCGCTTGGCTGCGAACGAAAAGGTCAGAGGTTTGAGTCCACCCAGAGGCACTTCAGAAGACAGAACACCTGAATCTGTATCTGAAACACTGGTCATTGAAAGTACTGCAAGCGTTGTTCTCTGTTCCTGGGGTCTCAACTTTATAGCAACTCCCATCCCCCTGTTCCACAGCAGCTACTGCAACCTGAAACTGCCTTCTTCACGTCTGTCTTCTGTCTGTCTCCCCACTAGAACGTAAACCACAGAGAGCAAGGCCTGAGGCACCCTTAGGATCTCAGTTAGTCCACTTCACAGCCAGATGAGTTTTCATACTACAATCTCTCATTTCGCAGATGAGGCAAATTAAAAAGAACAGAAGCATTAAACTACTTGTCCAAAGTCACACAGCTTGTGAACGGCGGAGTGAGGATCTTGAAGGAGGCCACCGGGCAGCAGAGTCTATAACTGTTAGAATGCTGCCTGACAGCTCAAGCTACACAAAAGCAGGCATTAAAAGCGAGGCATTCATAACACAACCACATGTGGTTAACAAACATGCTGATGTACACAGAACACATTCTTGCACTAAGTCATGAACAATGATTACCTAAGGATTCTTACTAGGAGGTGAGAACCAGACTTTCATCGGCTACCCTTCTGAGTCGTCTGAATTTATTTTTACCACACATTAGAACAATAAAGGAGTTCTGCTAGCGTAGTGGTTACCAGTTGGGCTGCAAACCTCAAGGTCAGCAGTTCAAAACTACCAGCTGTTCTGTGGGAGAAAGATGAGGCTTTCTGCTCCCGTCAAGATTTGCAGCTTCGGAAACCCTATGAAGGGTCACTATGAGTCAGAACCGACTCCATGGCACATAACCACCACCACCATTAGAACAATAATAACACAAAATGTTTTGTTTGTTTTTAAAGAAAGAAGCCAACACAATGGACCAGTTAAAGTGGAAATACGGAACAATAACTGGGGAGGTAGGCACACTTTGGAGTTCTGGTGTGGTGCTGTACATTAATGCGCTGGACTGCAATGTCCGTTTGAACTGCAAGGTTGGTGGTTTAAGCTCACCAGCTGCTCCTCGGAAATCCTGTACAGGGTTGCTATGGGTCGGAACCGACTTGATGGCCCTTAACAACATGCACACTTTAGAATAATCACCCATTTGAGATCAAAAGGGATGCATTTATCCAAGGACAAAGTTCAGAAGGGGTAGGAGACGACGAAGTACTGAAACAAGAGAGGAAGCAGTGTGCCTAAGGTTACACAGAGGAGAAAATCAAAGCACAAAACAAAATGTGTCTAACCCACTGAATGGCAAACTGACCTGCTCTGTAAACCTTCAACCAACTCACAATGAAAAGCTAAATAACAGGACCAACAAACATGACAACTGGACTTCATCAGTTTGTCACTCCAGACAGGGAGTCTTTGATCCCAGACAAGAAACAAGATGCCTTTGGGCCCCGAGGTTTGGAAGTCTGTATTTTTCCCCCTTCCCTTTCTCCCTCTGTGCGGCTGCCTGAGGATTTTAACAAAGGAAGAGAAGGTGGCAAGTGTTTCCTGGTGAGGTCATACTCTCCCCAAATTAGAATTCCAAGTCGAGGGTAATTCTGTGCTCTGTGGATATCAGCACAGTGAGCTCTCTGGGCAACTTAAAAGCTTTGAATTCAAAAGACAGAAATAGAAACAGAGACAGACAGAGAGATAGACAGACGCACACACCCTAAACAGTACATGTTCCCTCCACAGGAGCGAGAAGGGGTGGAAAACCAAAAACACCCACTGACACGCAGTGACCCGAGGACAGAGGAGAACTGCTTCATAGGGTTTCTGAGGCTGGCAATCTTTACTCAAGCAGCCAGGCAGACCGTTCTTCCATGGAACAGCTGGTGGGGTTGAACTTCCCAACACATAACCCACAAAGCCACCAGGGCTCCTTGAAGACATGGGACGATACCATAATATTCTAGAAGGGGACTCACAGTGTCCCACGTCCCCTCTCTGACTTGGTATTTCTTGCACAGGACTCACGGTTCAGTGAGAGGGGCCCACTGTGACCACCAATTGGTTTGACTTGGGCCTTCACACACCTCCCGGTTCCCAAGGGGCAAAGTTCATGAGGCTCTTCTGGGAACAGGACAATAGGATCTGCTAAGGACTTTAAATAAAAAGTGTGTTCTCTCTACCCTAGCCATATTGCTGCAGAAAGGCCTGAGTGTACAGGAACACCCCCGGGGCCTTGTCTGTGAAGCACACGGGAGACCCCAGCAGCTGTAGCATGGGAAGAGCAAGGCCAACAGCCACCTTACAGGGTCTCAGCGAGTGAGGCCACACAGAATGACAGGGCCGTAGTCTGCGGCTGCTATGAAGTGAGGTAGATCCACAGGACCCAGAAAGAGGTTCTCCCACAAATATCACGTGACCCATTTTTATAAAAGCATATTTAAAACTCCAGTGTAGACTGGCATACTGGAGTTTACCAAATTCTCCTCTGTAAGGATGGCATGGATGAGACTTACTTTCTCAAACTGTTCCTCGCCAAAACCCACCAAGGACTACATCATACAATCTTCCCTGACTCTCAGGTTGCTCCTCTGCTCCAGCCACGTGGCCTCTTTGATGTTCATTAGCCATAGGAGGTATGATCCTGCCTCAGGGCCTTTGCACTGCAGTTTCCTTAACCTAGAGGGCCCTCTTGGGTACTCCCCATAGTTGGCACCTACTTATCCTTCTGCCTCAGCTCAACCTATTGATGCTCTTTCTCGGCTCAGCGATATTTCTACTGCCTTCATCGGCTAATGATTTATCTTGTGTAGTTGTTGCTAGCATAATAGCTCTGTGACGCTAGAACCTTGCCTGCTGTCTTTTGTAGTCTATGTCCAATGTCAGGATCAGAGCCTGACACTCTGAGATGCTCGAAAGCGGCTGCTCAAAGTGGATCACACCGGAGCATCACTATTACTCAAAGCAATCTATACAATCAATTCAATCCTGGTAAAAATTTCAACATAATTTTTTTTACAGAAATGAAAAGAATGAATCCTCAACTTTATATGGAAAGGCTGCTGTGGTGTTTAAGGGTTGTCTTTAGCCAAAGCAATTATGAAGAAGAAGGGACAAGGCCTCAGACTTCCTGATCTCAAAACACAGAAGAAAGCTACATTTATCAGAACAGGTTGCTCCTGGTTTAATGATAAACACACAGGCCAATGGGGTTCTGGCATGACGCTGTGGAGCACTGCACTGCTAACCCCAAGGCTGAGGGGCCAAACCTACCAGCTGCTCCTCAGAAAAGCTTCACAGGGTCCCCGTGAGTCGGTGGGGACTCAATGGCATCTGAACACAACAACAATGCATCCCAATAAACTAGAATTGAGAGTCCAGAGATAAACAAACACATACACATCTTGAGGAGGCTTCAAGATGATCTTCTAATTCCATTTTTCCATTAACTTTTTAAAAGCCCCTCATACATACCTAACAAGGGTGCTGGCTAAGTCT